CTGGAATCGAACCGTTATCTTCTTTCTGTTTTGTGTATTGTTGTTAATTGTGAAAAGGAAGAACTCTTAAAATCTTAGCTATGACATAAATGTCCCTGTGAAAATTATATCTAAAAGAATTTTATATCATAATGGAATATGCGAAAAGCTATGGCGTAGGTAATGTTTTATTCCTAAAAATGTACTCTTATGTTTTTATTACATTTGAATAAAAAGTTATTATATCTTTTATAAAATGGCTTGAGGGCAATAATTATACCCGCTCTGTTCCAAGAATGTACAATTATACACTTGGCAAATAAAATAATGATCCGAAAGAAAAATGAAAAGATCAAGGCTGTTTTGGAGCTAATGCATGCATTTAGTTTTATTCATTCCAAATTTTTTATTTATTCCATTATTTATCATTTATTTGGATTGTAATTGCGTTTATTCATTAATTTATTCTTATTTCACTTTCTCATCGTTGAAATGTATATGCGAAAGCATATGTTTTTAAATACAAACTATTTTATTCGCCCATTAGCTTAGCTTGAGCGAAGTGAAGCAATTTATACATCTAAGCGACACTTATTCAAAGACATCGTGGTTGCTGTTTTGGTTGATTTTAATGAAGGCAAAGCACACGAGAGCTACCGGTAAAAAAGGGTTGCTTTCGTGGAGGACTTTTAGAGAGACAGTGGTTCGTTTCAGCGGTCTTATCCATTCTGTTACTGATGGTTCGAAAGAGCATCGTGAAAACTACACTGCTGACGCTTAAATTTGCAACACCGGGAAGGAATGATCTGACGAACATCAAAATCACGTGAAAGGAAGTAGAGGTTCGGATACGCAAATGATTAGTATTCAAGCGCATTTAGACGACGCAGGAGGGAAATGATATCTGAATCATGGCACAAAAGACAAGTTGCGTAGCGGATTTTTCATTCGGAAAGCGTTTTGTAAAGTTGGAGTTTGCTCAGAATATCGTGTTATGCCTCGAATAATAAGAAGAAATGCTTACCAACAAGTGTTGGAATTCGATAGAAGCAGGATCGTTGCCTATCGAGAGTATGGATTATCGTTTCGTGATATCTCACGTGGCAATGGTCGACATTCAACCACAGTCATGCGAATATGGAATCAATGGGTTGCTGAGGGTCATACGAAACGGCACGCAAGATCTCATCGCTCTCCCATGACTAACACCCGAGAGGACAGACATATTGTGAGGGCATCAGCCCTGCAGAATCGTACCACATCAAGGACCATTAGTCAAGAAATGGGAATTTTGCAGCACGCCTAGTTATCCGTTCGTATGGTGCGTCGGTGTTTGCAGCAGCGTGGACTATCAACATGGCGATCATTACTTCGCTTCCCTTGATAATGCGGCATAGAGAGAGATACGGCGACTATTGCGCGCCGAACGACAAAGCTGGATACAACAGTGGCACAATGTCGTCTTTTCAGACGAGTCCCGGTTCTACATGCAATGTTGGCCGTATACGTGTCTGGAGGCTCTGAGGAGAGCGCATGTCACCTGCTTGCATTCGATATCGGCATAGGGACCCTGCACCTGGTGTGATGGTTTGGTCATGACAAGCACTTCTCTAGTTCGGATCGACAGTAATTTAAACACAGATGGGTACATTTCTAATATCTTACATTCAGTGGTTGTGCCCTACCTTCGAGGGTTGCCGAACGCCATATTCCAACAAGATAATGCAAGACCACATGTTCCACATCGTGTTCTGACTTTCCTCGATACACAGGGTATTCGATTGCTGCCCTGGCCTTCGCGGTCTCCAGATCTGTCACCCATTGAAAACACCTGGTCATAGGTTGCTGCGAGACTGGCTCGGCACTTTTCTCTTGCTAATATGGTTGATTAAATGTGGCGTAGACTTGAAGCAGCATGGAATGAGTTGCCTGTTTCTGTCATCCAAGCCCAGCTTGACTCCATGCCTAACAGGGTAAGGGCCGTTTTAGCTGCCATGGGTGGCAGTTGTTTCTACTAATTTCGCACCATTGTAAACCCCCAAAACTGCTTACAAACTTAATCATTTTGTCTTCATGCCATATTGTTTACGTACAATAAATATATTTTTTGTATTTGCTTTCTTTCATGGTGTTGCAGTTTTAATGGTTATCAGCGTATAAAAGCATGTCCTTTATTATTGTTATCATTATTGTTGTCTTCTGAATCATTGAGAATCACCATGATCCACTAATCGGTGGATGCGGGGGCACTACTCATATTCCCTCGGAACAAAAGTTATGCAAATATTCATAAAAATTATCTGTTAGGTATATTATAAATGTATGAATTATAAAAAATGCTGTTTTTAAAAATTCAAGTTAGGATTTGATTATTAATAGGTAAATTGCTTTTAAATTCCTCAGTTAAGAAGCGGATAGTTTTAATTTTAAAGAAAAATTATAGGACTGATGCCAGTTCGCAGTGTACCTCTCAGTACCTCTGAGAGGTACACTTGATTTAAAAGGCTGTATAAATGATAAATGCCTTTAGGCTCAGAATTAGCTACAATTACCAGGCCCTTTCATGTCATAATAATGTATGGAATTTAGATGAAGTCCATGTTTACCATAGTTATAAACCACGCGTTAAAGTGATAGCCTCTCATTTTTAGTAGGAGCTGAAAGCTTTTGCTATTTAACTGTGTCCATATCTTATTAGGTTTGTCAAAGAATTTTCCCCGAAAATGGGGGTATTAATTTTTTTTCCTTTTACCCTTTTCTAATTATTTATTATTCTTTGCTCTTATTTATTATCGTATCATATTTCCAATTAATTGTTGTCTGTATTCATTTTTCCCCTCCCCGTTATTATTGAGTTTATAAAATTTGTTGTGATTTAACGAAGTTCCATTCATTTTAATGAATCCTACATTTTTTAATACTAGAAGTCTCTTTCCTTTTTAGTTGTTCATACGAAATGGTTGTTTAGCTTATCGAAATTCATGGTGATTTGCGAGGAACGGTTTTAAAATGATGTTCATTATCTGCAATGGTTGGGCTCTACGTATGCAAGTTCAAGCATAACTGGATTTTGTGAAAAGAATTACGACTGAAACATAAATTAGTCAACAGAAATGAAATCGATTCGATCGAAGCAATAATGAAATTTCAGCTTAAATTTTCACATATTTTAAAAGTATCTTTGCATTTTCTAGGGGGGGGGAAGTTATTATCTGAAAAAACACAATAGTTCTTTAATTTGCTTTCAGTTATTATGAACGCTAAGTCAGTATGTTTCTTTGGCAAACTATAAAAACTTTTAAGTGCGTATTAACGTTGAATTTTATTTTGCTAAATATACCGCTTGTAAAAGTTAATGGTGGCCGAAATGCATTTCCGACTGAAAATACGCATCCACTGGCCAACAGATGGCGACACTAGACTTTTCGTGCTTATCAACGATCTCGTAATAGCATGGTTCTTATTTCTTTTTCGAAAAGGAATAATTGTTCATTAAGTAGGAAAAATTAAATATAAGGATTATCAGAATTTATTCGCTACTACTGTACATTTCCAGCTGGTATTAACGCTTTACTTCATAAGTTTCATCCTTTTAAAATACTCATATGAATGTAATAATATAATGTTCGTTTATCACAAGTGAAACCATTTTTTAACGTTTATTTAATATTAACTCACCTTTTTTATTTTTCGTTGATCAGGATTTTTTAAGCCGCTACATCCAATTATATTTTACTAAAATTACTGAATTTTAGTTTTAATTTGTTACAGGAAAAAAAAAAAAAAAGTCTGAAAGGTTTCGGGTTTTAAATTACGTTTATAGAGGCGCTTTATTTATTTATTTATTTTTATTTTTTTAACGTTTTGTGTGTTACCTTTATTTATCAAATATCATGTTCTACGTAATCAAACTATAAAATTCAGTTCAACAGCAATATCGCAAATTAATTTTAAAATCAGCTATCTTTAGACTTTCCGATACGGAGTCTCGCGCGCTGGAGATTTTTTTTTTTTTTCGTATAGTGTTGCCATTGCTCGCTTTGAAATCGTATAGTTTTTTAAATCACAATGCGAGAAACATACGTTCATTTATGCAGATTCGTCATTATTTAATTTCTTTAAATATAAGACATGGCGATAATATATGGCAGCAGCGATTTGAAAAGTGATATAGCTTTTTAAAGTTTTCGACACAAAATGCCAAAACGAAATTAATAGACCTTCAGGGCAAATTCTGGCTTTTAACTGATTTAAATTCAGAATTCCAAGCTTTAGAGTTTATGAATATGAGCGGAGATTAACAAATCCTTTTTAAGATAAATAGAAATTACTGTTCAAAACAGAGCGAAAACTGAAATGTAACCGAGGTAATTAAATGAAGCTTTCAGCCAGAGTGCAGTTTGAATGAACGTTAACTTGCTAATCTTTAATTTCAGTATAAAGAGTGGGATATTAATACAGGAGACTTTTCTTGTAATATAATTCTTCATGTTTATAACCAAATATTTCATTACTTTTTTTTATTACATGTTCACGTTACACGTCACGTTCTGAGACGTCATGTCACGTTCTGAAAACACGTTACGTTCTGAGCAGTGAATACAGTTAACTTTTCTGCTGTTAATTGTTTGGTGACTGAGGAAATGGTTTTACAGATTTCGTTCTTTATCAGATTATCTTGTAAAAGTACCGTGTTTCATAGCTTTCAGCTTCTATTTTTTAAAATTATTTAGTTATTCATGCTAAGTCTATTACTTGTGATATTTTTGAAATTTTATGCGTGTTATGTTTTCGAAAGTCATACAAGAATGCTGTCATACTGTATTTTTTAGTAAAGGGGGGGGAGTATTGAAAAATAATAAAAGTGATCCGAACTTTCTGAGCATTTTCAATTCTTTTATGAAATCTGCCTATTGCTAATGTGTTTCCTAAAAATTGTTGAAATCCTAAGTGCTGAGCATACTTTTTTTTTTCAATACCACCGAGAATAAAGTTCATAAGATTTAATTTTGTTTTTACAGGCTAAGAAACTTGCTGGTAAAACTAAGCACAATGATCCAATTGCCAATCAGGCAATAGAATTAAGCAGTCGAGCTTTATCACCTGCAGCTGCTGAATGTTCAGCTTCGGCATCTCAGCATTCATCAATGAATCATCGGAGTTCTAAGAGGTCTCATGCAGCTCAAAACTTACCTTTGGGCTCATGGTCGCCCTCAGGAAGTTGCAGAAGCAGTGACGGAGGCGGTTGTAGTAGCAGTGAGGAAAACAACTCTCCTACTGATTTAAATTCCTGCAAGCAAATGAAAGACAAACCTCCACTGCTGAAAAACCTTGAAGTAGTTCAAGAAAGTACTCCAGGGGATGATTCTTTCAGTAAAGATCTTGCACGACCGTCATCAGGTGGTTGCATACGGAAAAGTTCAGCATGGGAAGGTGCTCCTACTTTACGTATTTCAAAATCCAGCAGTCGTCGTAAAGCAGATGGATTCTCACATCATAAAGTAAGAAATTGTTTCTTTCCGTGTATTAAAGCACGTTGTAATTAACCGAATGCTATATTTAACCAAATGTCATATTTTCATTCATATGCCAGTCTGTATGTATTTTTAATTTGTTTGTAAAATATTTTTGATAATTGAGCCCGTCAGATTTTTAACTGGTTGGTATCGATTAGTTTCTGATTCTTTACTTAATATATTTATTCACGTTTCCCCCTTCTTCTTTTTCTTTGAAAGAAATATTCACTTGGAGCAAGCAATCAAACCCCTACCGCTCCCCCTACTGATGAAGAAAGTCCGCTAGAATCATCAACAGATCAAAGCAAAAGATCTTCAAGGTCTTCGTGTGATCATTCTATGCCATCATTATCATCCTCATTATCCGATACAACAAACTTCAGTGAGAGATCAGAAGCATCTAGTTGTTCTAAGAATAAACGAAGCAGCCATAGTTGTTGTGCATGCAGTAGATCAAGCGTTACACCGCCACCACCACCTGAAAGGTATCATAAATTTTATATCACTTTGTCTGCTTATTCAACGTGTGCATATTCAGCATTCCTCTGCAGTTTAAAGTTTTTAATTTTTAAAATTGTTTTTTCCTTTCTTTTTTGGATGTGGGGAGGGGGAGGGTAGTTGTGTTGCAATGTAGTTAGAAGAAAGCTGTCTGTTTGAGAATCTTAAATTTCATGTGTCCAAGGTCCTGTTGACCATATTTAATTTTAGTTTGTCGTCTGAAGTGAAACTCAGAATTCTTACTGTATATCTCTATGGTGTATCACTCCAGAAACCTTTCAAAAACACTTTTGTTGCTTTCAGAAATATGGTGTTCCTTAAAATTTTTTCTTAGATGATTTATTGAAATTATAAAAAGTATAGGAACATGAGCATGTACACACTACGTCTGCAAAGTTTTAGAACTAAATTAAAGATTCAGATATTAAATAAAAAAGACAAAAGACGGCGGCATACATTCGTAAATTGAGCACAAATGTACACTGAATTTACGAATGACTGACTGTTCATATAAAATATGGGAATATTCCATGCAAAAATGTAAGAAGAAAGAAAAACTTCTTTATTAGTTGGGAAGCATTTTTCATGAAGGTTTTATTGTACCTTAGATTTCATTGCCATCCTTAGAAGATTTTTTTCCTGTATTTAAGAAGCTAGTCAGTCCCCCCTCCCAAAAAAAAGTTTATTCGAAGGTTTGAAGTTTATTAAGGCTTTGCCATATTTGAAATTATATATTCTAAACTAATTTCTTCCTTTTCCTCACTTCTTTGTACAATATTTTAGTCACTGTAAGCTGATTCTCTTTAAATCCCATCGTCGGTCTTGACATAATCTTTCAGAGAAACAATCTTTCAGAGAAACAACGGTGTGAATAATTTTATTGTAATAATAATAAATATAAACCGTGCCTTATTTTATAAAGTTTGTTTTATACCAGAATGATAGAAAAATTACCATCACCGTAACAGAAAATCTTATGCAGGTAATGCGAAAAGAAAAAGAAAATTCCATTGATAATAGGAGTGGTGTCGCAATATTTAGGATTTTATTATTCACATCAGTGCATAATTTAATTGTATGTAATCTGAAATATGTAAGCATAATTAAATCTTCTGTTAAAAGTAAATTGCTCAGTCGTATCAATAACCTAAATTTACAGTTATTAATCTTCATTTTCTTTGACTCTTATATAAATACAATGGTATGGTAAACAAAAATGTTTTTTATTTATTTATTTATTTATTTAATTAATTTATTTTATTATTTTTATTTTATTTATTTATTTTTTTGAGTACTCATTTAATTTACGTACGTACGTTATATACATTGTTGAGAGAGCTGCGCAATATGTGGACAAGCGTTGTTTTGCTGATAAATGGCACCTGGGCGACTTGATAGTATAGGCAGTACAACAGGCATTAAAATGTCGTCCACGTAATTGCGACCCGTCATAGTGCCTTGAAGGAGAATTAGAGTTGATCGTGTGGCCCAACAAATCGCTCCCCACACTGTCACAGCTTGTGTAAATAGCGTATGCCGCTCGACAATAAATGCCGAATTGGACCGCTGGTCTGGCCACACGCGGTCATCAGCACTGAAACTGAATCGGGATTCATCGCTGAGGATCACACGCCTCCAGTCGGTCACACTCCAGCTTGCCGGAGTTCGGCAAAAATCCAATCGGCAGTGCTTATGGTGTGGGGTCAGTGCCAGGCGTCTTAATGGACGTCGGGCAGTCGTCTCCGAATGTTTTCCCTTGATACCACCGGATGTCTGGAAAGTGGTTAATCACGTCGAATCGATGCTAGTGACGCTGTTGGTACGGAAGTGGCTGCTCTTACGATTGCGCGATCCTCGCGTTTATTTGTGTTCCTGGCACTCCTTGACTCTCAGCGACGGTAGACTATCACTTCCGTCATCGATTGTCGCCAACACCGAGCAACTACCGTATCACTCCGACCAAGGTGACGGCCGATACGCCTGTTCGACCAACCTGCTTCTCTGAGTCCTATAATACGCCCCTTCACAAAGTCCGACAACTGTTACTTCTCAGAGGCATCTCTAGTCACAGTATCGTCCATCCAAGTCGACACATTCGCTGAGACTTACCCAAGTCTCACTGGCGTCGAAATTTAAATCATTTGCATATCTCTTTTACCAGACTACAGTCCCCCCTTTTTTTTTGTGTGTGTGTGTGTGTGTGTGTGTGTGTGTGTGTGTGTGACAGAGTGTGTCGCGAAAGGCAGACAGACACACGCTACGTTATAAAGTCATAAAACATTAGCTTTAATATAATTTCTAACCTCATTTACATTCTGGTCATGAAACGGAAAGGCGAAGTTATAGTAAAAGCTTAAATTATAAAATAACTGGCTGTTTAAATACTAACACATTCTTTAAATTCAAATTTAGGCATGATTCTTTGTCTAATCCCGATGATGCTGAAGAAGATGCTCTGAAGACTGCAGCGTGGTATCAAGCTGGAATTCCAAGGTAAAATGCATTTTGAAAATTAGGTCTTTAAATGTATTTCAAAGAAATCGATATCCTTGTAAATGATTCTTATGTAAATACTGTTCAAAAACGTATCATTTTGTTGACTTGGTTATGAACTGTGGGCGTAAACAAATTATTTTACTTATTTAGGAATTTGATAGCAAATATCCTATTTTTTAATCTTTCAGTTACCAAGAACATCTATTGTTTTCTCTAAATCTTTGACTTTTGTACTTCCAATAAAATATTCTGGTATTTAAAATGATTTTTATAACGTAAAAATAATGGCAGTTCATGAACCAACCAAATATTATGATTCATTATTTCAGGAAATGAGTGAAAAGCAAAATCTAATTATCAGCATCTAATCGAATTCTGTCAGTCTATGGCTATATAGTGGCCTGGCAAGCATTTTGCACAAGGTTTGGTTCACCGTGAACGAGTGCAGTTTATGGTTTGATTTTAGTGTGTATTCATTCACAAGGACTTTTCTTTTATGGTCTACTATATGAGAGAATCTTTGACATGAAGAGCTGTTGGCCATTTGTTAGAAGTATGGCAGACAATTATGGAAGTGGCTAGTTGTTAAATGCTTAGACACAGACAATATCTGCCTTCTAGAAGTGATTTCAAAATGTACTGCTAAAACACCGGGACAGAAACTGCTGAAGAATTCGCAAGTTTGATCTTTGTTCTTACAATTAGATCTTTGTTCTTCAGCCCGTTATACAGTAACTTGACTGCTAGGCAGCTAGCTCACAGCTGCTTCGGGAACTTTTATGTTTCCGAAGCAGCTGTACGAGGTTTAATGAGTAGGAAATTAATACCAGAAAACCAGTGGTTTGTGTTTCACTGACTTCACAGTAAAAGAGGGCCCGATTAAATAGTAATTGAGAATATTATAATAAGAAAATACCAAAAAAACATAAAATATTGTGTCGCACATTGCCAGATACGGTGTGTCACTGGCTAAAAATATCTGAGAACGCTGATGATATATGATCTGTACTAAAAGTATAATTTATATAATTTTAACAGTGAACGCAATGTTATGTTGAAAGGAATATTGAATTCCTTTCAACATTTTTGCTGACTTTTTATTGCTTGCTGTATTACAGTTTTTGGTTATGTAAACTTTTCAAATAAAATTGTGCAATATTTATATTTTTTATGTCGATTTCTAGAAGGTAGAAGAAAGAAGTTATTTTTTTTTTTCATTTTGTAATAAGAGGTGTTTGTAATAAGATTACAGGAAATCTTTGACATGCGAATTTTTAATAGGATGGCAAAAGACACAGATAATATTTTACTTATCTGCATTTCAGAACTTATGTCCGGAAATGTTAGTTCATGTGTATTAAGAACTGACAAACTGTAATTTTTAAAACATATTATTTTTTATAGTAGTTCTTCTGCCAATCAGTTTTATCAATCTGTAGTTGAGCTTAGATTAGGTCCAGACTGAAATGTGTAGTTGCTTTCATTTTTCAACATTTTGTCATACTAGTTTTGTTGAGCATGATAATGTATCATTATTGTCAGGTATTTAATGCCTTTTTGTCAGGGTGATCAACTGATGTTCCGCAGGATGTATCCGGCTCACGACATCAATTTTACTGCCCAGGGCAAGTTTAATAAAATTTATCATGCACGTTAGTACCGTCTTTACCCAGTACATCATAAGGAAGTCGACAGCGAAGTATTGCAATTCTGCATTTCGTTATTTTTTGGCAGCCTCAATATATGTAGCAGGAAAGTGATTATCCCTTTGATATATGTCGATTTACGGAAGATGTGAGTATAGAATACTTGATAAGCAGTTTCATCTTTTTACTATTAGGTAATGTTTGACACATTTTCGTACTGCCAGGAATAACAATTTTCCAAGTAGGTAAATAAGATCGATCTTCTGCAGGCGCACTATATTATTGTATTTTCCCTTATTTATATGCGAAAGCCGCGTGGGAAACATGAATAACCAGAATTTTAAAAGTGAAACTGCTGTTCAAGCGCAGCTTTTATATAAAATAATCTTGTTACTGTTGAAAGGCGTCAAAATATTATTATCAAACATAGATGTTTGAATTGTTGTTAAACATAGCGTTTACTGAAAGATTAAAAGTTAGCGTCTGTTTTATTTTGAATAACCAATTCCGGATGCTTACATGACCCCCTCCCTCCCCCCGCTGCCGCAAGCGTCTTTCGTGACAATTTTAAGTTCAGTACCTTATCTAGAATATATATGTGTATGCAGTAAATATAATTTTAGAATTTAGTTCAAAATTTTTCTCTAAATAAAATGCATAGTGCTGCTTGTATAACCGGTAAATATCTCCTCCTTATCTGCAGAAGTTTGGCAGACGCTGCTTTTTTTGCATTAGTTTATTACAGTTAATGTCTTAAAAAGGGAATTTCATGAACCTCTAGAACAATGATTTGGCAGGTACTTGGATGTCATTTCTTATAACATATAAAAGTAAATAATAAATTAATGACCTGCAAAACTTCCCGGTGTTGAGAAACTTTATTCATGTCATGGTATAAGTAATCATTATAATTTAAAAAACATGAATAATTTTTTAATTTTAGAGAAATAACTCTGGAAATACTTGCAAAAGAACCTGTTGGAGCATTTATGGTTCGAAAAAGTTCAAGCAAGCCTGGGTGCTTTGCCTTAACTTTACGTGTGCCAAGAGATTTTCATCAGTCAGGAACAGCTCATTATCTCATTATGCGGACAAATCGAGGGTATAAAATCAAGGTATCTATTTACTTATGATATTTAGTTTTTATATTTGAAGTTTGTGCGAGGGTGAATGAAAAATAAAGATGATTTCTAAATTATTTCGTAACCGAAACGAAGAGAAGCGGGCCCATTGTAGCCAGTTTATATTCTCAATGAACGACGAATAGTTCGACTGCGAAGAGTGAGCACTTTTAGTTGCAACCCCTTTATAACATTGCTTCGTCATAAAGATGTCTGTACCTTTATTTAAGTTGGTCTGTGTTCGAAAAGGCACGAACCTTCATAAGCGTGTTCTAGTATAAATTCCATCTACAGCTTTATTCAGATAAGTTTCCAGCTTAAAAAAGAACCAGTAATGTTTTTTTAATACTTTTATGCCCTGGCATAAAGGCGCGGGAATCTTTATGCAGGAGCACCGGCATGTAAGTAGAATTTTGGTTTACTTTATTAATTACAGTAGCAAACTGAAACCCCACTTGCTTTGCGCGTATTGATTTAGTGTAGATTGAAGTTTTTGCTGGGATGAACTTGCTTGAGAACTTAATTTAACAATCTTTAAAATTTTGCAGAGAATCTTTTGAGAGTCTTAAATCTTGAATGAGCTTGCAATTAAAATATTAATTTTGTTGGAATCTCTTCGGTGCATGCGCAGTAAAGAATTTGTCAGGATTATGAAATCATCTTTTTGGTCGTTGGCATGCTTTGCTGTGCGACATATGATTCTTGCTCTCTGAAGGTTCCTACCTCGTGGTTACCATGGGCTCGCATGCTTGTTCAGATTTGCAATCCCTACTTAGAGTTGCGCTCTTCATGTATGATCAAGCAATTGTAACCTAGAATACAGCATTTTTCGCAATCTGCCAACCTTTGAAGCAGAATGACATGACCTCGCCAAACTTGTAAAGGCTGTACCAGATGTTGGAATCCAAGCGTGTAATCAAAAGGAATTTGAAGAAACTTTAGAAATCCTTCGCCATTGTCAAGAAGTCCTGTTGATGGAAGATATGCTTGAAACTGAATTCCAAAGCCTGAAAAAATGGAATTTCATGAATCATTAAGTAATACGGGACAAGAATCTATGGATTCTACTCTTCTAAAATTCATAAATTGTTGTACACTAGGGAAAAACAAGCCATCACGTACCATGCAAGGTAATGGTACTGCAGCTCTCAGGTACTGGGAGAAGCTGAAGAAATCAAACTCCAAGAGAAGACTGCGCAAGATTCTACTTTTGCTCACCGTAACAGCTTTGCAGGTATTTCTGACAACGATTCAAATACTGAAGTTACGCAAATTGGCCTACCGGAGAAAAAGCATGTAAAATTTAGCCGATCCTGTATCCAAGGCCAATATCGTGGAAATTTTTAGTAGAGCTTCTTCGACAAAATGCGATCGAAAGTTTTAAGGAAATTCTGACAAAAGAATATATTAAGATTTTCTTTTCGTGTACGGCGAATTACGAGCAAGCTACTGCCATACTGAGTAAGAATGAAATCCATTTCAGCATTTTATTGGTTCTCAAGACGTTCCAATTAAAACAATTGCGTACGGACTTCCAGTTGAAACCTTAGAAAAGACTATTATGGAAGAATTGCTGAATTTAAAATTACCTGTTTCCAAAGTGAAGCAGTTTTCTAGAAGGAAAGAAGGTACAGTAGAAAAACTTTCCATGTTCTTTGTGAAAATTTCTCGGAATGAGGAAAGACGGAAATTTTATTAAGTTAAAACGCTTTCTGTCGAAAAAATTCGCATATGGAAATTGAAGCTGGGAAGGCGTCCTAGGATTTGCTCCAAGTGCCTGCACTTCGGTTACAACCACTTCAGTTGTTTTCAGTGTGCGAGACCACATTTGACTTGTAAGTTACCGAAAGAAGGGAAAACAACTTATCTCAGATGTCAAAGAGAACATCCCTGCAACTCAAAAATATGTCTTATGTTTCCAAAACTCATGGAGCCCAGAAGAAAAAAGAAACTAGAAAAGAAAGAAGAAATCTTTCTGCCCCGTCAATTTGTGTCAGCAGAACAGAAAATTTTTCATAAAGTACTGAAAAACTTACCTCGATATTAAAAGACAGGAAACTACTAAGTCTTCTCAAAAAGCGTAAAGATCTCTCTAAGAGTTGTAGGAAGGAAATCTCCCTTTCGGAGAATTTAAAGATTGGAATGGAAATTGTTGAAGTACTATCAGAACTAGACTCTGATAGTTCTACTTGTTATATTACTGAACATATTTATGAGATCTGTCGTTGGAGTAGTTGATCTCACCCCCCTTTTCCAGCCTGTCTCAGATTTCCCTCTTTGGGTCAGTACTTGCTAGAACTTTGTCATATACCCTTTGGGCTTTAGCTTGCTATAGCTTTATTGTAACTTAATTAATCAGAAACATTTCGCATCTAAGCCAAGATTCTGGAGTTTCTTCTTATCTAATGTTGATTTGCGGGGGGAATTCAGAATTTTCACGGGAATTTTAATTTTGGCTATCTTCATTTTCTGTTCTAAATTTTTTATAATAATTTTCCTGGTTTGCATCTTTCCAAATTATTTCGTTTCATGTTTTTTATGTAATTATGCTGTAATGCGGATGGTTCTCGTGTAATCATATTAAAGAAATTTTGTATTAGAAATACCGCTATTATTTGTGTATATTTCATCAGAAACATTGAAGTTATTGTTATTTTGTAGGGCTTCACTAAAGAATTTGGGACGTTAACGGCGCTGATAACACATCATTCAGTGATGCCAGAATTGTTGCCTTGTCCGTTATCATTATCAAGGTGGAATCCTTCTTTCAGGAATCACGACTCTGAAGATTTTGTGGATATTAATGAAGATCCCGATTATGATACGTTGTCTGATTTCAGGAAGGTGTTAGGCGATCGAAATGGTTAAAACAGTTTGCTGTATTTTTAACCAGAAGAATGTTCAAATGTTTGAAACGGTTTATTATATCTTTTAGCAGAAGAATGTTGAGATATTGAAAATTTTGCTGATATTTGCATTTATATTAAAATGATCATGTGTTTTTCATCATGTGTTTACATCATGTGTTTTTGAGCAAGAGCTTTTGAAGAATTCCTGTTAGGAAATAGTTTCCAGTTGTTCTCAATGATTTGTATTAACATTCCTAGTTTAAATTCATTAAAATCTGTAAAGCAGCTTTGTTCAACTGATATATAACTTTGATACCTATATATATTTGAAATTTTCTCTCATAAGATTGTCAATATATTACATAGCTTGAAAGTTTTTCTCTTTTGCGTATTATCTTGATTCTTAAAAATTCTGTATTTCGTTTGTTTTTCTGACACATGTTATGGCATGCTCATTGCAATATTATTAAATTCATCAAAAGAAAGTTTTTCAAATCTGTATATATATATATATATATTATATAATATTGTATGTATGTATTTATACTCTGAGGAAAAAGTAAAGTTCTTGAACTATGATTTTTTATTGCTTTATAATATTTCAAGTAAATATTTGAATATAGGGGGTTTTTAGAATTTATTTTCTAAATTATTGTAATTTTTGAGAATTTCTATTTTTTATATTGATGAATACAATAAAAAAATTAAAATTTTTCATATTTAAACAAATAGAAATTTTATCATAATAAAGTAATATCTTTTGTCACGAATCACATATCAGATCTCCAATATAAAACTCATAAAGCTATTCTGTGAAACTTTAATGGCATCTTAGAATTTTTGCTTTTATTAAAATTTACTATTTTATTTTATATGATATTCATAAAACGTATATTTATATATGCTACACTTAACATTACTCTGTTGTTTCTGCCTTTCCCTCAAGATTATCATTATATAAAAAATTATATGTTTATGTTATTTTGAAAATGATTATGTTAACTAAGTTTTGTGATAGTTCTATGTATGTGTTACCGGCAGTGTGAAAAGCCAGGTATTTTATTCAAGTCCGGAATGGATATTATTTCCTGTATTTCACATAGTGCCGATAACATATACATTTGGTGCATAAAGTTTGTCCATTAATTCAGACTTTATGTAAGATGCCTGTGATATCCACTTCTATTGTTTGTTGCTAAAGCAGTTACGCATTCTAAAACAATGAAGCAACAAATGAGACCGATGCTTTTTTAAACATTTAAACATACCGTAAATATATTAATATATAATCCAAGTATAATAAATGATAGTGAATTTTTTAATTTTGGAATTTTTAGTTATTTAGTATGAAAGTTTTTACTTATTTATTATAAAAAAATTTTCATTGCATTTAAAACTCATTTCTTGTAAATGATTTCTGTATAAAACTGAACAGCTGTTTCAGTCATTATAAATGTGAAAGTTCTACTTTACAGATCAATAGTAAATATGGAATTAATTCAAACTGTAAATGAGAAGAGAGAGAGAATATTAATTTCTTGAGTTATTGTAATTTGAAAGTATTTAATGAAAGTATCTATACCTTATAAATTGTTATGCAGTTTTTTTTTTTTTTTTTTATTTTCAGTTGCATGATATGTAGCTACATGCATAGTGCCCCACTAAAGTCTTTAGTCATGCAAATAATTTCAAATAAAGATAGCTTGAGCTCTAAAAATGAGATACTGGTGTAGAAAAGAGACACCACGGTACCAAATAAGACTAATGAAAGCATTCCCTAACAGCATAAAAGTTAGCAGACTCAGAAATTATTAGAGATACTTTTTTTTTTTTATAATGGTTGGGCATTTGCTGGTTAAGCATTCGTCTTGTACTCATTACTGAGAACATGGCTGATTGGGCTCCACAGGGACGATCACCATTACACTCGCAAAAAGAGAGAAAATCAGCACATATGTAACCAAATCTCACGCAGGAGTCAAACCCATGTCCTTGGTTTTGGACTATAAGTTAGCCTAGCCTTTGGTAATATTGTACCATCTAGGGCAAATGTAAAGGTTACTGGAAACCTGTAAATTATAAAATTATCCAGTCTTATTAAGTTAGCACGAGATTTTTCTAAAATAAATGGTGCAAATAGGAAGCTATAATGCTATTTTTCGAAAATATCATCTTACGCAAAAGCATTGTTTACATGACTTTCAGTTTAATGCAGAGGAAGTTCAACTTGTAGGAGATTGCAAGTCATACTAACAATGCAGGTTTCTTAGCATTTCTCCCAAATTTTGTATTACACATAGCCATCTGGCAATAATCTTTGTTTGAATAGGTTGCCATTACATTTTACCTTTACTCAGAACAATAATGTTTACTATCTACGAATATCTCCACTTTTCACCTCAGTTTTACCTGGAGGAAGAGTGTCCAATCACTGTTATATGTTTGCTTATGCAGTTGACAGGAATCAGGTTTAGAAAAATAAGTGTTTATAGTATCTTGCGAAATATTGTTACTTATTCAGATGCTCTTCAACTTTCTGATTTGCATTTTAAACGTATAGTAATTTGTGAGACTGTATTCCTAACTTCTAAATATTGCCATTAGAGGCAATATTTAGAAGTACTGTCTTGTTTGTATACTGTCTTGTTTGTATAGATTATAAGGTATTTCTCCTAATTTCCTAGCGTCCTTCGTGGTGTAATGGTTCACCACGCTGGGCCGGTATTCCAGAAGTCCGTGGTTCGATTCCCGGCAAAGGCGTTTGCTATTTTTTATCTTTTCTGCCTCTAAAAAAATCCTAATGACGCTACACGATGTAGTGTTATATGTGTAGAGTATTGGATACTTTTACATATAACTTCTGTTGTTTAAATTTATCAATATTTTTACTGATTTTAAATTACATTTATTAATTGTTATAATAAGCTATAAATTTAGAGACCTTGTAAAAGTAGTATAAAAGATTATGATTTGTAATGTTAGTTTCTGTCATTTTTGCTTGTGTTATTGAACATACATGACTATTTAAAAAGGCAGAATATGTTTAGAGAACAAGTACTAAACATGAGTGAGAGAATTCAAAAAAAAAAAAAAAAAATTAAAGTAGATCATTTACTAGTTTTTTACGAATTTTCTTTTGAATTTTATACATGAAATTGTATTACTTTTCCATGTTAAATAAGCTGCAGAATTTTTAAATTTTAATGGGAAACTTGCAAGATATGTTCTAAGTTCCATTTTTCAATGGCACAATTTAAAATTGATAGTGTTAGAACACATAAAAGTCATAAAGCGTAATTTTTTAAAAATTTCAAAGATGTTCATGAATATTCTATATTTGCTTAGTGATAAATTTTGTGTATGATATTGTGTATATTTGTGTATGATAATTCATTGTCTTTACATTTTAAGAAATCTCATTTACTAATTAATAGTGTGACTTGTCTGTCATATTGCAGTATTTTATTTATAGCAATTCTGGACATTGTTTATATTACATATTTTATAACTTTGTGCATGTCAATACTGATTGATTTCACGTTCTTTCTTGTCAGTGTGTATTTAAATTTCTTTTCTCTGCTAAAGGATTAGTAGTTTTCATTAAATAATATTTGCTACTAGAATTTCATCACTTCATTATTTATGCATTACTGCTAGCACTATTTTAATGCAATTATATAGCTAAATATGTTTCATGATTTATCCCTGAAACTTAATTGATCAGCCTCTTACACTTAATGTAAATTTCAAGAAATATCTATACATAATTTTTATTTAAGGAAAGCATTAACACTTGAGAAATTAGAAACTGGTAATTGTTTTGAGGTTCAATCTGCAGCTAATTTTTATGTTGTGATATCTTTTAAAATATTGCATTTTATGTCTGAAGTAAGTGAACAGGAAATAAAAAGTAAAGTTGCAACATGCATTTTATTCAGAACTGGCACATTGTGTTTGTTAGTTTGTTATGTGCTACTTAAAATTTATATGCTTTTACAATGAATGTGCTCAAGATGACTGTAATCTGTTTACAGTTTCACTCACAAGAACCTTACAACATTTTTGATAAACTGTGCTGTGATAAAATGCCTTTTAATTGGATTAGCATTATGAATAATTTTAATGGAAGGATGTTAAATTGGACTGGATGAGTAACAGGATGGATTTAGTTAAATATTACAATAATTCAGCTATAAAGGATGAGCAAATGACAGATAACAACATAAACCTTAAACATCTAGTGATCTTTTGTTTTAACTCTAATGAAGTTTAGTTGACTTTGCCAGATTTCCAAGTTACCTTTGAAGTCTAGAGAAATTAATTACAGTAATATTTTGATATTATAGAGCATTAAATGTGATATCGACTTTTATAAATTATCAGATAAGCCAGGAAAGTGTAAAACAGATTGTGAGGTATTCGTCTGCTCTTTCTGCAGATGCATTTGATAACCTAAAATATAAATTTTAAGTGTATTATATTATTATTTTTTTATTAATGTTAAAAGAGCATTGTAATACAAAGCTACTTTGCTACTTTTTAATAAGATGAAACATCATAAATAAGCATTTATTTCTGTACTTTCTTCTGAATCATTTAAGATTCAGTCATCATGCTATTAACACTATCATAATGATAGCATTAATAATGTTACGTGTAAGTATGCTGAAATAACTAGAAGGGAGAAAAACTAAATTCTGACTGCAAATGCTTTTTTGATCTTGACAGAGTAATTGAGTAGAGGCTATACAGATCTTACTTTGCTTTTTGGCATACTTAATTTTATGCATGTAGAATTTTATTTATTTATATATATTAAATAAATAATTCAACAGAAGCTTTGAATTTATATGCATATAAGTATTACATTTCTGTGCATGCAATTAAGTCATTCACATGTATTTAACACATTAGTTAATAAAGGGTAATAATACCTTGATTTATACCAGTATACTTTAAAGTAAAAATTAAATTAATTTTCATCTGGAGCAAGTAAAATTGTGTAAGTAGGTAATTTATTAAAATTATCTCAAGGGAAAATGTCTGCATGGAGGACATTGTAATGAAAACAGATTGATATTTAACTTACAAATAAAGAAAAGCAGTTTAAAATACTCACATAAGCAAAGCTGTATTATCAAAACCGTAAAAAACAACCTTATATTTAGCGTAGGTATAATGAAACACTCAATCGATTTCGAGGGCAGCTAAAGGTCCCTCCTCATCAGGAGAAAGAAATACATAGAAAGAAGAAAATAGGAATCACAGAAACACGTGGTGCTTATCAGCACTGCATGTGGTTATAACTAGATTTTTAATCAGAGTTGCACTGGCCGCCTACTTTTACTGAGCCAGGCTGTCTGATCAAGCATAAAGAAATATTAGCGAAGTTAAAATAGGGAGCGAGGGGCAAATGCACATTACGCTCAAAATCTGAACTTCAAATAATGGAAAGCAACCACTGAACGGATTTTATATACCCTCTGGTAGTACCA